TACTTTGCGATTGTTTTTTCCTGCCTTATAGCTCGGTAAATGTTATGCCTTGGTTTTGTTCCGCAGTTATTAGCTGTCTGATTGTTACAGAGATTAATCATTTTCTGTTGCTTTTTGTCTTGGACTGATGGCAACTCTTCACACTAAGGGGCTGTTTTTAAAATTGGATTTGACTCCACTAGGTTCCAAAATTTCGTTCTATTTTAGGACAAACAACAGCTCTGACCTTGTCTGGGTATCATCAGCATCTTCAAAGGAATATGATCCATGGACTTTATGGTTAAGCAACAATTTGTTTGCCCTGTATACCACAACGGCTTAACAGGGAATCGGTCAAGAGTATTGCCTTTGATAAATTATAACTCTACTGAGGTTAGAGTTTCACTGTCGATGCCGGCCAAACGCCTTGGAATGTACCGTGTCAACGGTCTGATGCTAGAAATTATCCTGAATACTATGTCAAAGGACGTAGTACTAGGTGTATTCCACAGGGTCTATCTGTCGGTTCGACCAAGTTAGGAAAACGAGGTCAATCGGATTATGAAGCAGGGTGTAATAACAATGACATGATTCGGTGTAGGTTACATTCCTTTGAGAATATCTTAATACCGTTTAAATTCGAATGATTAAAGCAAGTATTTTTTCACCGAATTAATCCCATTCCTTTTCAGATGAAAAAGTATCATCCGACGTAACTTCTGAGGCCTGCTCCATTTCTCTTCCATTGTATACGCCCTCCTTACAAGCTGATATAGATCCTGATGTCTCATCAAATCTGTCTGCCAAAGCCTACTTTTCTTCACCTGTCTCGAAGATAGATAAATCTCACAAGCCGATTATTTATCGACCTGAAGATATCGCTCGTCTTCTTGACAGGAGCCGAATGACATGGGAGTCTACGGATCGTCCTCCAGGACTACTAGATGATGAGAATAATGGCAGCTCTGCTACTACAGCAATGGCCTCTAGTGGTGTTTTAGCGGAGTCGGCCGAAACCACCTCGGTCTATGACTTTTTCGCAGGCACCTTCAAGGTCGCCCATTTCGACGATGTGCCATCAGCTAATGCGGTGGATCGAGTCTGTGGTACTTTGGCAAAGCAATCTGAAGCTGACGAGGAAGAAACAGGCGCCCAGGAAGGACGTGAGGATGGCGATACCGAAGAGTGTAAACAGTTAGCCGAGGTCAGATTATATCACTTGATCTGTCAACTATATTTTGAAACCTAATTAGTAAAAATATTATGCCAAAAATAATATGGTCGATTTTAGTGTATTTTGCCTTGTCGACAATTGTCCTATTATAAATCCTTATCGGGAGAGACCTGGCTTGTTTCGAAAGTCAAGTCTGCTTTTGGACTCTCTATTATTATTTTCTATGGCGGAGTGTTAGCATTTCCGCTTGACGCTCACAACTCGGTTTCGAATCATGTTTAGTAGGCTAATGAAACCTAGGCGAAATCAAAACAGCAGTCAATCCAGGATGAGAGAAATATTTTGGCAGGCAATGCTAATTGGAATCCACTGGCATTGAAAACCTAGTATTTACTTGATTGTTGGAAACTCAACCATCGGTCCTATATCATCTAAAGTTGCTTAACGCACCTCATTTTCTTATATCAATTAATGTTTTTAATTACCTATCCTCTGATTACAATTTTACTGTATTAAAATGACAGACCAGATTTCGTTTTCATTAACTTCACACCCCTTATGAAAACCTAGGTAATTGCTGTATGGTTACATGCATCTCGCTCTGACAATCTTGTCATGCGACCAGCTGCCAATTTGCTTTACAAGGGGATTTTAAATCCCTGCTCTTAACTGAGTAGAGTATAAATATCGGTTTCAATTATTAATTCTTACGATATACTAGATTTTTTCATCCCATTTTGACCGTGGCAACCAGCAACACTAAATTACTGACAGATCCCTTTTTGGAAAATATGCTTTGGATCCTAATCTTATCAACTTAGAATTGGTACGACTTAGTTTTCAATACTTGGTCAGGGTAAAAAGTATATTTGAAGAGGTGTATCCCAATGCTCAGAATAGCAAAGCTCTGAAGATGCAAGTGAAACGCCGTTGAATGTGGTTTAGACAATGGTCTATTGCTGGGAATAATCATGACTAATATGGCAGTACGGGGGACGATCTTTGAGGTCTTCCTGACACCACTACCAAATTACGGAAACTAGGCTGCTGCTATATCATCTTGCTAATCAAACCTTAGTGGACCAACTATAATATTTCACATAGGGAGAAAACGTGTTCTTGCCTAACTACCTTGCATATGCTTACATTCAGTTCTATGGTAACCTTGATAAATATTCCTTGTTACGCAGATGTTATCCTCGCTTTTGCGCTATCTTTAACTTTGTCTATCAGCCTCAAATCAACTTACCCACTGCTTGCCATAGTCTTTCTCACTTAAATTAATCTTTATTGTCTTTTGGCAAATTGAATCACCCGATGCAGAATGTTGACAAATCTCAGTCTTCGATTTCATCTTCCTCATTTTGGGATCGTCTCCTTCGGGAGCGCTACCAGCGACTTGTCAGCCTAGAGCAAGAACGCCATCGCGAGCGGCGCATCATCACATACACACATGGTGTTCCAATGGAGATAACTGAGCCAGTCAGTCCGTCGACTGCCAATGGCAGTGGCTGCACCGGTATGGAGGCTGATGAAATAAATGAGGCTAAAGCAGAAGCCAAGCCTGCAGAACTGTTCTCTCGTCGAGCAAAGTCGGGACGCAGCTTTCTATTTCCTCTTGGGCGAACAAATTTAGTGGATAACGGGTTTGGTATTGATTATGAGGAAGAAGAAGAAGAAGACAGAATGGAAGATGAAGATGCTGATTTGCGCTTAGTTAGGCGAATACAACGGCCTTCACGAACCGGTGTTGTCAGTGGTTATGGAGGCGAAGGCACAAATCAACGACGTCTAGCAGACCGGTCCTGGGGTTTGGCCTCCCAGCGTAAACTACTTGGCTTGAAGGATATCAGCCGGACTAGAGATAGTGACGAGGATTGGACACCGCCGGGCGCCGAATTGGGAGAGGCAGATGATGATGACGATGATGAGGAATGGATGGCGGAAGAATATCCTGCTGTACCCAGGCGTTTCAGTGATCAGGTCAAGCTAGGCAGGACTGCGGGGATGCAAAACAGAATGGCCAAACATAAGAAAAACGCAATGACGACTTAGTGAGCACCAGCTATTTTTCCTCCTTTTCACGTTATTGATATCGTTAATGGCCTGTCTTGCTAACATCAATCGTTCCTGAATGTGAAATCTTTATTGGGTACCAACTTGTCTTTCTAAACAGATACATTCCCATATTTACCCCACTTCATAATCTTTATCAAAATGCATTATTACGTATTTCACCAAGGATCCCAGTATTTTTTTAAATACAAAAGTTAATCTTCAAAGACTTTCTTTAATAGATTATATTTCAATATTTTCTCAATCAATAATGCATAGATACACATATCGGGAGCAAAAAAAGGTATCTCCTGGAGTTTCGCCCTTATAATTGTGCTAGAAATATTGAAGGGACACTTAATTTAGTGTGTCATGCTTAAACGATGCGCTCGTCATTATGAGGAATAAAATAATTTAAGATGAATACATGGACATGGGTTACTACAAACGACAATCTCGACATAACAAATAAAATTAGTAGATTTTGAATATAAAGGTTATATAGGAACTAATACGTGTAATGGCATATGCCATCTTGCCTTATCGACAACAATCTCGCTTTAAGATCTGAATTAAATGAAGTCCAGCTATCCTTTTAAGTTATAGATCTTGATGAATTGGCATTTGTGTTCGTGTGGCATGCCACTAGAGTTGCAGCTTGATGCACACGATTTGGTTTCGAATCTCATTGCTGAGGCTGATGAGACCCATGTCAAGTCGAAACTGATTTGCATAATTAATTCTGTCTATTCGTAACTACTATGACCTTTTGAATTATCTGCCTTATCCTAGAGAATATTTAATATTAGCTGAGTTCTGCTGATGTTTACCTGTTCTTTGATGGTGGAATTTT